ACTTGCCCACCACCCTCTGAATGGGCACCAATCCTGCATCCCAAGACTGAGATTACAGGAGAGATGAGGAGGTGTCCTTCACACCCAGTCCCAGAGACATATGGAGGTAAAAGTGTGAGGCAGGAGGGAAAATGACCTTTCATATAGAAACTCTAATTAAACTTGATTAGACTAATAAGCAACAAAAAAAAAAAAATGAAAAATGAAAGAAAGGATGGAGAGAGAAAGATAGTGTAAGAAAGAAAAGGTAAAGGAGGGAGAACAGAATTAAAAAATGAAGGATGTGTCCTCCTGGCATTGAGCTGTGCCATATCCAGGGCTGAGAGGTCAGAATGGACCACGTATATGGTCAGGGCGTCCTGAACACTCTCTCCAGTCACAGAGACATCAAGTACATGAGTTCCAGCGAGCAAGCTGGCCCGGGTACTGCCGATTATGAGTGATCCAGTCAGTGACCTGAGAAGAACTTACTGACCCTCCCAATCTAATGTAGGACATGCCCAGCCATGGTCAAGGGTGGAACAAGCAAGGCCTGCTGGGAGGGATTTGAGGACCAAGTTATGGGGAAAGGTTGAGGATATCACCCTTTAGCCCTCTGTCCCTGAGAGAATCAGAGGGAGAGAGGCCTGGCCCACCGGAGACAGAAGAGGCCCTGTCCAAACCTCAGCGGCAGTTCTAACAGACCCAAGGGCACCAGGCACCATTTTCCTCCCCTTTCATGGAGCCGTGTTTCCACAGGCAGAACTGACACTTGAGCTCTGAGGCCAGGGTGTCTGCTCTCTAATGACCATTGCCAAATATTCAGGCCTGCTATTCACCATGCGCCATTTTACTCTGAAAATTGCATACTTATTTCAACGAAGGCTTATAATCTTGTGAAGCAGTTCTTACTTTCTCGATTTTACTGCTGAGAAGATAGAAGCTCAACGATATGAGGAAGCCTGCACAGGGTCACACAGCCACGTGACCGAGCCCTACCAGGAGCCAGGCCCTCCCCACAGCTCAGCCAAGCTTCACACCGGCTCACGGATGCTCCAGGGATCCATGCAGGTGATGAGGAGTGCCGAAATCGTTAGCTTTTGTATTTATATAAGATTTAATCTTATCTCTTTTAATTCGTTTCTTATGTTCATTTTTATAATCTGTATATTGTTAGTACATATTTGGAAGCTGCAGGTTCACAATGTATTACGGAAAGCAGTGCATGCTCAAAAGACTTTGAAGACCTTGCTCCATACCTCTGCTCCAGAAATCCTCCCTAAAGCAGCAGCTCTCAGGGAGGGAAGCTGCCAGAGTTTCCCTGAGGGCAATAGAAAGACAGCCCCACAGGCTCACAAGGCTTTCCTCAGCCTCTGCTGTCCCCTTGTGGCCACCACTGGACAGACACAGAGCGGGTTTCCCTGACGGAAAACACTGAAGAAGGAGGGGTATGGACAATACAGAAAACTAATCAAAGAATGTGAAATGGAGTGAAGGAGACCGGATGCAAAACATCACATGCCAAACAATTCCAAATATATGACATTAAAGACCAGGCAAAACGAATCTGCAAGCTCCCTGTGGGACTTCTTTCTAGGATGCTGCTCCTCTCAGTCAATCAGCAACTGCAGAGAGTGCTTCCCCTGAGACCCGTTGTCGTGGACTTATTTCCAACACATGGTGACTCCATATGTTACAGAGGAGAACTGAGTTCCATAGGATTTTCTTGGCTGTAATCTTTACAAAAATAGATAGCCAAGCCTTTCTTCCACGGTCCAACAGAGTGGGTTCTTACCACCAGATATTACCTCAAGGTGGAGTCAGCGAGCCTATCACAGACTGAACTCAGATCCAGACCTGAATCCCAGGCAGCCAGGACTCAGGAGCCCAGGACTCCCAGGCCCACAGGGCTTCAGTTCCGACCCCGGGCTGCTTCTTGCTCCCTTGATCCTCTCTGCACCCCTTCTCTCCTCACAGTCTCCCCTTCACTGGCCTTCTCTTCTCCTCCTCTCTGCATTGCCCTTCACTCTCCCCCACTCTATAACCCCTTCCACCCTCACACCTGCCCTGCACCCTCCTACTCTCCATCCTCACTTTCCACCACTTCACACTCCTTCCTTTTGCCCTCCCCTCCCATTAGTCCCCCATACACCCCCTTCCTCTCACCTTGCTACATTTTGAAGGTAAGAACAAAAGGAAGAGCAATTATACCTGTGAAATATAAGCGTTTATCACCATTTTACAGATGAGAAAACTGAGGTTTAGAGAGTCCAAAACAGTTGCTCAAGCTGACATAGCTGGTAAGCAGACAATGCAGCATGCAAATCATACAGGCTCAACTTTAAAGCCCAAGCACTTTCCAGGACTGGAATGTTTTTTAAACCGAAATTCAAGCGCACAGTTATAGGCAAGAAAGGCACATCTTCCCCAGGAACCAAGTTTAATCTACAAATGATTGTTTTTGTTGTTTTTCATAAGGAAGGAATGATAAGTTGAGCAATTCTATGGTAAATAATTTTTCTAATTGTTTTACATTTAAAAGACATTTTATGAGAAAATAAATACTTCCCATGGATTCTCTATATGAAATTTCAAAGAAATTTCAAGCTTGGGCAACATAC